GTCACCCCCATGATGAAGAACTGGCATAGCTCCATTGAGTTACTCTTAACACCTCCAGGCCTTCAGTAGGCCACAATGTCTATTTGAAGTGTCTAGTGGAATCCTGGATCCATTAGTTGCAATTACCTGTGACAGATTGCTCATATATAATGCTTTATTTTTTTTTTATTAGTATTACTGTATGTCTGAAAGATTTGTTTCTAAGAAAAAATATGTTTCAAGTTTTAGAGTTAAACAGCAAGTTACTGTCTTGAGCCAGGTTCTCTGTGTAGACTGTAGAAATAACAGCTATCTCTCAGACGTGGTTTGTGGGGGATTAAATGGAAAAAAAAATAAGTGAAAGTGTATAATAAAATGTAAAACCTTATATCAAATGAATGTGACATTGTGGTGTTAAACTCTGTATTAGGCAGAGAAAAGTTCCTGCCCACTAGAAAGTCATCATCCAGGAGGTAAGTCAGGCATAGACAGTTACATTAGAGTATGTGAAATCCTGCAAAGAGCAACTATAATCTGGAAGTGGATGGATAGGGAAAACTTGGTGGAGGAAGGAGATCCTGAGCTGAGTCTTACAGGCTAAGGAAGGGCAAGCCTGTAGAGAAGGAAGGAGAAGTGAAAGTCGTCCCATGATGAAGGAGTAGCATGGAGGAATATGGGATTCAGGAAGGTGAACATATGTATGTATCTCACCTTGCCTCTGTGGACTCCTCACAGAGACAAGGTGAGGAGTTTATGTCTGGAGCATAAACTGTCTACTTATAGTGCCTATTTGATTGTCAGGACACTTACCTAATTCTAAAGAGGCAATGTTATTGCACAGTGGTTAACAACTCTAGAAACAGATTTGGTCTGAAACCTGGTTGGTATCCATCCACTTTCAGATTATAGTTGCTCTTTGTGTTCCACCTGTGCAGGATTTCACATACTCTAATGTAACTGTCTATGCCTGTCTTACCTCCTGGATGATGACTTTCTAGTGGGCAGGAACTTTTCTCTGCCTAATACACTGATCATTTCCTAATCAGTGATATTTAATTAAGAATTATACCTTCATAAACTTTTAGGATCCACATGATGATATAAGTGTCTACTTTAAAGGGTGGCTGCAACAATTATTTGAAATAATGTTTGTAAATGCCCTGGTGTTTAATAAACACCTCGCAATGTCAGCAGCAGTTTCTATTGCTGTCCTGAAGGTTCTTAGTTACTTTTTTCCCCCCTCTCGGAATTCTCTTACCTACTGTCTAGGCACTATTTTAAATGCCAATTCTTGTCTGTTATAATGGAGCCATAGAAACAGAATTTGACTTAATTTTAAAGATACTCTAGCTTTATTTCATTATTTTGTGTGTGAAGAAACTGAGTTAAATAACCTAGCTGTGGAGTCTGTGAATCAGTGGCACAGCTGAAACTGGAATCGCGTCTCTTTCCAGAGCTCTTTCTGTTGGTCTTGTAATAAATCGCCCAAATCACTCAGAGACACCAACCCACAGTATTAGCACAATTCATTGCAGAAATGATACATTAAAGTGTAGAATTGGTATGATATGTCTGTAGCTTTGCAGATAGGGAAATATATTTTTAAAGGATTACCATCTCTTTCTCTGCCTCCCTCTGGTGAAAGTGCTGTTAAGCAGCAGCACATGTGAACAGGCAATGAGAGGTGGGTAATAAGGAACCAGATAATTATCAAATAACTCCTTTGCTGTCAAGAATTGCTTAAGCAGACAGATTTCCATTTCTGTTTATTAGGGTCTCTTCACTAAAATGTGAAAATAGATTTTGATAATACTTGTCAAATATACACGTTCTACTTCATTTATTCAAGAAGATCCAATAAATATGTTGAACACTCTTTGTGTACGAAGTGCTAGGGATAGAATGGTGAGCCAGAAGCTAATCTTTAGTGGATTAAACAGATACTGAAATAATAATTATACAAATTAATATAAATAGTTAAATGCTTTGCATAAGAAGTACAAAGTGATTTATGATCATACAGCAATCTTTGGGAAGACTCCCCTGAAAGTGTTAATGGAGACAAGAAGACTCAATAAAATAAATAGGTGAATATGAGTCACAGGGATGGAGAAGAGGATTTAATTCTGTGAAACAGCATGTGCAAGGCCCCAAGGAGAATGATCTGTCCTAAGAATTGGAAGACAACTAGTATATTTGGAATAGAAAATGCTAAGCAAAATGTAATTCATGGTCATGAGAAGAGAAGGTAATTATTAGACATCCCCAAAGATACCACGTAGCACAAGAAGTAAACTTCCCTCAAAAGTAAACTGTGTGTATTTTGTTTAAAGATTCATTATTTAAAAAGATTACTTTAGAATCACTATAATATTTAATTTACTAGGTAGAGTAATGCTAGGATTTGGGCACTTCTAAATTTTTCATTTGATTTTTCTGTCTTTCTATCCTGGCTCATTGGAATTGAGGGGATATTTTTATGTGTGTTTACATGAGGGCTTTTTGCTGTTAATTAGTTAACAGTCTAGAAGTGACAGAGAATCTTATCCTATTTTCTTGGCTGAGGTTTTTGTGTGGGTGTGTGAGATGCAGCTGCACTGTTGTTGTTTTTGGCTATCAAGACAGGACAGTTCTTAATGCACTTCATCTGAATAGGAAGAAACTTAAGAGTAAAAAGGCTACTTTCAATATTTTAAATGTAGTGGAAGGTACCCAGGACCTGAATCTTTGGCTGATATTCTAAGTTATTTGGCTAAATTGATAGAGCAACCTCAGGCACATGTCTAGGCTTTTAGTAGGATCACATGAAGGAGAGAACATGAAGAAAATAAAGCTTTGAATCAATATAAAATTATCAATTACCATATATAATTTTAAATGAATTTTTGTTAATTTTTTAAAATATATTTTATTGATTTTTTACAGAGAGGAGGAGAGAGGGATAGAGAGCTAGAAACGTCGATGAAAGAGAAACATCGACCAGCTGCCTCTTGCAGAATCCCTACTGGGGATGTGCCCGCAACCAATGTACATGCCTTTGACTGGAATCGAACCTGGGACCTTTCAGTCCGCAGACCGATGCTCTACCACTGAGCCAAACCGGTTTCGCGAATTTTTGTTAATTTTTAACTAATAATTTATTTAAGCTTTTCTCTAAATAATGAAAAAAAGGCAGATTCCTTTTTAAACAGATGGATTCCCAGGTCTGCTTTTATTGCTCACTTGTTTTCTTCATTTTTCTTGGACCTTTCTTATGGTATATAAACACTTTGTTTTCCAAAATCCTAAAATTAAATGCAGATAATATGGAGCTCTTCATTTTCCAAGTGTATTTGCGTAATTTCATTTGGATAAACTATCATGGTCCTTCATACTCTTCAAACAAATGTCTGAGTTACTTCCAATATTTAACTGATTGTTAATTAATGTTATTGCTCTCAGAATAGTATGGCATTAGGTCCTGTGGTTGGTGAGCCTAGGTTCAAATTTAGTCTTGCTGCTGACTACTTAGGTCTCACTAATGTCTCAGTTCCTCATCTCCAAAATGGAGATGATCATGTTAGTGCCTCATAAGTTTTTTGTTTTGTTTTGTTTTGTTTTGTTTTGTTTTGTGTTGTGTTTTTAAGGCTCAAAGGAAAAAGTGTATATAGAAAGCTTAATCCAAAATCAGTGCCCAGCAGAAGAGATGCTGGCTATCATTTTCCTCACGATTTTGATCCAGTCTCTTAGAATCCATTACTAGCTATCCTCATTCTTCTGGAAGTTCTCTTTCAGTCTAATCTGCATGCTGATGACTCTCAATTTATGTCTCCGTTCCTAACCTCACTCTTTCCTAAGCTTCAGACTTGTATATCCGACTGCTTATCTACACTTAAATATCTACTACATACTTTAAACATAGCATGTCTAAAAACAGAACTTTGATCTCTGCCACCTGCCAATACTTGCCTCCCCAGTCTGTCTCCACCATTCTTTCCTATCTCAGTTAATGGCACCATTCGCTGTACTTTTTTGGGCTTTCCCCCACCCACTTTATCACACAGTTAGCAGCATTATCCCAGAATATGTCCTGAATCTAACCACATGTCACCATATTCTCTATGAGCACCATAATCCAAGCCAATCACCTCTTCTTCTTGGGCAGATATATAAGGAGTGGTTTCCTTATTTCGGTTTTCAGTCTTGTCTCCTATAATCCATTTTCCACATTTTGAAGGCTGATAGTTTCAAAACAGATTATTTTACCCTTACCATTTTATTAAAATTGGAAAAATGTCCAGAATTTTTGAAAACCCTCTATGATATGGACTCTGACTTCTTTTCTTTCTATCTCTCAACCACAGCTAGTTTATTCCTATCGTACGGTCCTTACATTTGCTTTTCCTGCCAATTAGGGATATTTTTCACCCAGATCATCAGTGTTGGCTCCTTGTCATTTTTAGTTCTCATTTTTGACAATAGCTCTTCAGAGATGTTTATCCTGACATCTTTCCTTCCTTAATAGCTGATCAATATCTGAAATCTGCCCCCCTTTCTTTTTTTCATAAATTGCCCCTCCCTACTCCCAACGTAATTTATGTTCCATGAGAGCAAGAACTTTATTCATCTTGTTTATTACCATATTCCCAGTGCATATGTGGAAAGAATGATGAATAATAAGATTTCTACATTCATGGAAATAGTGGTTTGTTTCACACTGCACAAACTTTGCATAGATGCTTATTTTAGAATTAATCATGTTAATATTTTATCTCTTTTAATGTGTTTTCTTTATTCTAGATTTGTAAGCCTTTAGGGTAGGAGGTATTTCTTTATTGTTTTTAGCTCTCATGGAATGCTAAGTACCATTTTAGTACTTAACATTGAATTGAAAAATTCAGTCGAACATCTTTATTTCCTCTGAAGTTACAGTAATTATATATGTGTATGTTTATGTGTATCTTTATAAATAGATACATAATTTATATAAATTCTGAAAGTAGGTGTGTATAAAATATGCTTTCTCCTTTTATATCTTGTAGTTCATAATTGGACTCTTGAGGACACACTTCAGTGGTTAATAGAGTTTGTAGAACTACCCCAGTATGAGAAGAACTTTAGAGACAATAATGTCAAAGGAACAACGCTTCCCAGGTGAGTCTTCATTATCCAAATGTATTTTTTCCACTCACGGAGAGTTATATGCTACATGTTTCTTTTCATTGCCAAATCTATATGTTACTTCTGTGGCTAAGAACTCAAAGGACATATTATACATATATCCATTCTTTAATTTTTGAAGGTATGAGTTTTTGCAAGTTTCAATCCATTTTTCTTGTCTAAACAATACTAAACACCCTTTAAAAATTTATACCCAAGAAAAATAATTTTGAAAATGAGAAGGTGGGCCAGCTGTATATTTTTTTTAAATAACATCAAAGTAACCAATCTCTGACCATCTGGTAAATATGAAAAAAAAAAATGTTTATTTGATACAGATCCACCTTCAAGAAAAGATCTGTTTGAATGGATTACTTTATAGATCCTTCTTAATTGGCATTCATTTAATAACAATAACCAATCAGTATTAGTGGCCATAAGTTAAACTTTAAAAAATGAATTTTAATGAATAAAATGTAAAATTGCATAGAGGTACTCTATATTATCACATGTAAGCTTCATGGTTAACATGAATTATGTATCACTATCCCCATTTTATAGATTTAAAAAACTAAGTTAGAGAGATTTTAAATATTTTGTCCAAGGCAGCATTTGAACACAAATAAATCTGATACCAGAGTTTAGGATGCTAATTTATCCTCTCTATGTCTGGAATTGTTACTAATTTTCTGAATTATATTTCTTAAATCTCCATTAGTAAACTTAATATTTATAGGTTTTAATGTTAAAATTTGCAGTAATTCTACCAGAATTTTACCCTTACAAGGTTGCTTATGTTTCATTCCTCCATGGATTGTTTCTTATACTAAAAAACTCTAATCCATTTTTATTATCTAACTGAGGGATCAGGCCAAAACCAGCTTTCTGACATCCCCAAGGGGTCCCAGATTGTGAGAGGGTACAGGTCAAGCTGAGTGACCCCATCAGTGCATGATCGAGGCTGGGGAGGGATGCAGGAGGTTGGCCAGCCAGGGAGGGACTACAGGAGGGCTCAGTCCTGATTGGCTGGACCCCAGCAGCAAGCTAACCTGCTGTTAGAAGCATCTGCCCCCTGGTCAGTGCACATCATAGCAAATAGTTGAGCAGCATTAGCACATTACAATTTGATTGGCTGAACAGACGACCGGACACAGCATATTAGGCTTTTATTATATAGGATTATTATACATGATGAAATATGCACATTGTATTTCTAATCAATTGGCTTACCTACCCTATTTAAATATATGACTTTTATTGATTGCAAGTCTATATTTTGGATCTAGTTGGAAGTTTTCATATTTCCCTTAAATGTATTCTGACCATCAACATCAGTATTTTTTATTTTACTGTGCAAATGACTATAGTGATGAAATTATGGGAATAAGTATTACTAGTTCAACAAGTGCGTTTTCAGTATCTTTATGTTCATGGTGCAACTAGATGCTGGAAAGAAGACAAAAATCAAATATGATATAGTCCTTGCTTTTAAATAAGACTAATTAAAACAAGCAGGATAGTAGAGCATTAAAATGGGATTAGAGTTTTCTGAGTTATATATGTTACCCTGGTTTTGAGGAACTCATGGTATTTTTCTTATGTCTTTTGGGAAGTTTCTTTATAAAACAACAACATTAAATAAAATTGACTACTCTGTCTTATGGCAGTAAATGTTATAGCTGCTTTTTTCTTTTTGTTAAATAAAAGATATCAGAGATACCTCAAATTCTGGTAGAATTGGTGAAATAATACACATTTAATCAAGACCAGTTTTTAAAAAATAGTAAACATGTTTTTACAGAAGAAAAGTTAGATATGTAGAAGCTTATATGGAAACTTATATGGTACTGCTGTTAGGTAAGTCCATTTAAAGAGGCAGTATCATTTAACTTAACCATGTAAGCAAGAGAGAGTTTTGTAGGGCAACTGCAGATATAGGAGCTATTTATATAAAAGCACTAGAAAATATATTACACATTCTAGATGTATACATGCCTAAAACAATTCATTATTGTTTCCTTTCTGTGACATTAAAATATTGTTACCTCAGAAATAGATAGCCAAAATTATGTTAGTTAAAATGGTTATCTTAAGCCTTTTACTGTATTTTCTATTCTCTGTAATTCTTATTACCAGAGCTTATACTAAGGCTCTCTTCACCTGATACATCCCTCCTCATTCCTTTCAGACTTGTGTGATCTTCCCTGACATCCTCACCCACTCAGGTAGAATCACTTCCACCTCTGTGCTCATATTGAACTTTGCATAAAATTCTGTTACATAGTTTCCTTTTTACTACATCTCATTGTCTTTCTTAAATTTAGTCTATTGATAGTATTGCTATGGATTCATTCATGTATCCATCCATGCATTCATTCATCTATTATACAAACATTTAGCAAGCATCTACTTTTGCCAAGCACCATGCTAGGTTTGGGGATACAGAGCGAAGAAGATCATTTTTCTTTCAAGGACTTTGTTAAGTGTCATATTAAAGGAGTAATAGGAACATACACGTAAGGTATCTGTGGAGAAGATGAAGGAAGACATTTTATAAAGGGAAAGTTAGAGATCTTTATTCTCTAAAGTTTTATAGAAGCCTTATAGGAGTTACTGTAACTTCTTCATACTCAGAGGTTCTGATGGCTCTAACTCAAGTGTAGTGGTTCAGGTGCAGTCATTGGAATCATACATATTTGGGTTTGAGTCTCTGCCTTACCTCTTACTAATTATGTAATCTTGAGCAAGTTACTCAACCTCTCACTACTTTAGTTTCCTCATCTATAAAATGGGAAATGCACGTGCACACTCACACACACACACATACTGACATACAATGTAGTTTGTTTTGAATTTTAATTAAGCCCTAACCCAGGTTCTGACACTTAGTACATGCTTCTTTTTATTGTCATTGTTATTAACAATTACTTTATTATTATTATTATTATTATTAGCATCATACTTGGTTGTTAAGAAATCTTAGCTGACTGCTGACGGGGCTGCTTGAGTTTGAAGTCCAAATTGAAGTGATTTTATTACTTTGTTTTAACTGTGCCTTTGGCCCCGTTCTTACTTTTTTCATATCTAATAAAATAGGTCAGTACTTCTTATTACATTAATCCTTCAGTTTACTTTCCCAACTAATGATGACTGCTTACTTCCCACTTAAGACTTAGTGTACTTTATTTAATTTTTAAACAGTTTAAACATTAAACTATAAAGGTATAGACTGAGATACTATTTTTTAAAGTCTGCTATTACTTATAAGTTTCTTGTTCTTTGTGAAATGACAGTAAGATGTCAGGTAATTAATGATTGTAAAATATTTTGAATTTGATAAATTTTAAAATCAGAGTAAGTTACAGTACAAAAATAACCTCAGAAAACAAAAATACCAACCTAGCAACTAAATTATTAACATTCAGGAGTGTTTGTATAGCTAACATTGCGCTGAGAAGGTTTTTGATACATGTAATAAAGTATTAAATCACACTTGAATAAGCTGTTACAGTAATGATCACTAATATGTAAAGTATTAAATATGTTGCTCAAATCTTTAAATTTATATGCTAGAAATATTTTTATTTAATGTGTATGTATTTTTTTTTTTAATGAACAGGATAGCAGTACATGAACCTTCATTTATGATATCTCAGTTGAAAATCAACGACCGGAGTCACAGACAAAAACTTCAGCTCAAGGCACTGGATGTGGTTTTGTTTGGACCTCTAACACGTTAGTATTTGCTCTCACAGAATATGATGCAAAAGAATAATCAGATCACCTATTTGCTATCTAAAGAAGGAAAAAGTAAGGAAGGTAGTAGACCACTAAGAAGAATAATCAATTAGGTATAAAGGAAATTTAATACTATCTTAAAACAAAAGATTTATAGGGGTAGACTTTTTGTCATTGAAATATAGAATATGAAATTTTCAAAGCTTGTTTACTGATATTAAAAATTACAAACATTATGTTGAAAATTTAGAATTAAATTTTTAGATTTGAAACTTGGTCTTTATAGCAATTTTGCTAATGTTATTATAGTAAGATCTTTTACTGAATAGTCCCTTTAAAAAATGGTGCAATCCAACCATCTTGATGCATGAATAGAATCTAACTTGATTTCATTAATCACCAAGAAAATAATTTTTTATATAGATCAAAAATAAAGACCCACTTTAAAACTTTACAAAGTAACAGACTTTCCTGACACAAGCACAAGGTGATGAATTGTTCTTTAGACTGTTTGGAAGAGGAATAGTTAAGTAATTAATCTGTCATATTTGTAAAGAAAATAAACCTGTATTTCTTTAATTTGACAGGACTACTGTTTCTCAGAAGGCAAGTTTAATATGCTTATTTAATTTAATTTCAATTTTCAGAAAGTGTTTTAAGAGGCACCTGTTAGGGGAATTATGATTTATTTTTACGAAGCCAAAAATGAATAACATAATTAATACAAGAAAAATGTCTTCCACAAATTACAAATTAGGAAACTAACATTTATTTTACCTCCATTCTTGAAGCTAGGACACTTGCAGGTTTCTGTGATACTATTTCAGAGGTGGCTCTGCTAAAAAAGAGTTGCTGAAGCGGTTGGATGGATTCCATGACTTTACTGGAGGTTCTTTTTTGGCTCAGGCTAAAAGAGCAGCTGGTGAAACAGCTGGAACTTCCCTTTGTGAGGGCTGGTGGAAATGCTCTGTTGGAAATTACAAACCCTAGGAAATAGAACACTACTGAAATGCCGAGCATTCCACGGAGATGATGCCCTTTCTAACCTTTTCCTTGTCTAACTTTTCTACTGGATCTCCTGGGGGTTGTCTTCTGTGCGATTCTTTCTAGTTTTTTTCATGTGGATAATTGGTGAAAATAGGAATTAAATTCCAGAATTTATCTCTATATAAAACTTGGTCAGGCATATTTATATTTTATTAACTCAGGAACAAACCACCCTCTAAGCCAAAACAGTATTATATTATTATTTGAAAAGGAGCAAAAGTAGTCTTAGAGAATGTTGAAAATAAGTATTTTAATGAACTAATTAAGCTACATCTTTTTATTGTTTGTCTTAAAATTTTTATTTGAGTGAATGAGCCTGTAGTTGGAACACCCATATTAGATTTATGCAAAACCAGCAATGTCAAATGAACAGAGATACATTTTAAAGGAGTTTTCCCTAAAATCTTTTCTAGTTTGTGGTACATACTGCAGTTTGGAAACTTGCCCATCTATTTATTGTTATTCCTGGTGATTATATTTCAGCTTAAAGTGGGCTCATAATTGAACTAGAGCCTGAATGGAACCTCTTAGTCTGAGGCAAAAATAGAAATAAATCCTTTGAGACTTTACCCTGGGGTAGTGCATCTCTTTCACTGTGGGGAAGGGCATGCACTCTGGAAACACACGACCCCGAGGGTGTCTAGCATAGAGCATGCTATTTATCGCACTGTGCAACATATACGAACCCTAGACTTGTACGCACAGGAACTTGTCATGCATACATTTTATTGTGTTAGTTATCATTGTGTCTTCCTCCAAAGAACCCCCTGAAAATTAATGTGTATTGACAACTCTAGTAAAGTTCCTAATAAACTAGAACATTATTTGCCTAGTGAGTTCTATGTTTTGTATCATTGAAGATGGTAGGCCCTGGCTCCTTACTCTTTACTTACAACAATGTTGGGGTTACTGTCTTGCCTGACTTGGTAGGGAAGGTGATCCTGTTCTTTCTAATAATTCAGATATCTCTGGCAAGTAACCATCTAAAACAATATTGTTATGGTCATTTAACCCATGGTTTCTTAACATTGGCATTATTCACGTTGCAGGTTGGATAATACCTAGGTAAGTTTTTTTTATAGAAGTGGGTGAGGGGGAAATGATTTTCTTGGGCACTGTGGGATGTTTAACAACATCTTTGGCTTCTACACACTAGACATCAGTAACAGCTCTCCCTGCTGCTTTCACTCTCTTCCCAATTGTGACAAAAAAAAAAAAAAAAAAAGTCTAAATGTTTGCTGGGGGAAAATATCACCTTTGGTGAAAATCACTGATTAGCCTTAATTAGTTACATGGCTGTATGCTTGGGGAAGATGCTGTTTTGGTGAATGATTAGCATTCCAGTTTATCAAAGCATCACAGCTGCCTAACTTGACTATAGGAGTTGGAATGCGATGCTGACATTCTTTATGACTCCTTCACCCAGAGGACCATTCTCAGTACATCATGGGAGGTGCTGTCAGTTTTTCAGGGGTCCCAGGACTTCTGTTACTTCCTCCTGTACCAGCAGAGACATGAAGCATCCATATTGGTTTGTCTCTGTCTCCTGTAGGTATAGTACAGTGGTCGGCAAACTACGGCTCGAGAGCCACATGCGGCTCGCTAGCCGAAGTTTGCCGCTCTGTTGACTAATGAGTTTGCCGACCACTGACGTAGACTCTTTATTCCAGTAATTGCAGGCTATTGTTGTTCCTTGTAATTAAGCTCCTAACCCAGTGGTCAGCAAACTCATTAGTCAACAGAATGGCAAACCGCAGTTCACGAGCCAAAGTTTGCTGACCACTGGTCTAGTATATCAGGTAGTTATAATAAATATATTGATTATTTGAAAAGGATTTTTTAAAAGGTTGTGCTTTTATATGGGAGGGTCATCTTGACTTTTTGTTTTATTTTTAGATGCCTACTAATTTTAAAAAAGTCTCTCTGTATATTGAGATTCTGTTACACTCAAAGATTAATTTAACCATCTTTAATTCTCTCCATAGGCCCTCCTCATAACTGGATGAAGGATTTTATCCTCACAGTTTCTATAGTAATTGGTGTTGGAGGTTGCTGGTTTGCTTATACACAGAATAAAACATCAAAAGAACATGTTGCAAAAATGATGAAAGACTTAGAGAGTCTACAAACTGCAGAGCAAAGTCTAATGGACTTACAAGAGAGGTAAGTAAAACAAGCTATAAGTCTTCTTATTTATGTAGGAGAATATTTATGAAAATGTAATATGAGCATGTACATATACACATTTAGGTTGATACTCACATCAGGAATGTATCTATACTTCATTTCATATATGTAAAAGTATCATTATATTCTAATAATTATGGATTTATTATGAAGGCATGCTCTAGCGCAGTGGTCGGCCAATTCATTAGTCAACAGCCAAATATCAACAGTACCACGATTGAAATTTCTTTTGAGAGCCAAATTTTTTAAACTTAAACTTCTTCTAACACCACTTCTTCAAAATAAACTCACCCAGGCCGTGGTATTTTGTGGAAGAGCCACACTCAAGGGGCCAAAGAGCTGTATGTGTCTCATGAGCCACAGTTTGCCAACCATGGCTCTAGGGAATGGATGGGTACAAACCAATGGAAATCAATCATAAATAGGTGGAATTATATATGAAGTTAAATTATATTTTCAACATGATTTAAATAATTCTGTATTTCCTAAAAGTCTCTTTGCTAAAGAGTACTTCCCTGTTATATCTGTATTTTGATCTCAAGATAACCAAAATAGTCTGGCCAGTGTGGCTCAGTTGGTTTAACATAGACCTATGAACCAGGAGGTTACAGTTCGATTCCCCATCAGGGCACATGCCCAGAGCTGATGAATGATTCACATTATTGATGTTTCTATCTCTCCCTCTCCCTTTCTATCTGAAATTAATAAAAATATATATTTTAAAAAAGATAACCAAAATAGCTGTATATAATAGGCTACCTAATGATTTTATTATCCAGACTTAAGGTTAATAGAAAAGTCTACAAATTTTGATTGCACATATCTTACTGCTTGATACATATATATTTATTTTTTATTTAATAAAATGAAATTTTGAAAACTTTTGTGGAATTACATTTTTATTCTTTAAGACTTGAAAAGGCACAGGAAGAAAACAGAAATGTTGCTGTAGAAAAGCAAAATCTAGAGCGCAAAATGATGGATGAAATCAATTTCGCAAAGGAGGAGGCTTGTCGGCTGAAGGAGCTAAGGGAGGGAGCTGAAAGTGAATTGAGTAGACGTCAATATGCAGAGCAGGAACTGGAACAGGTATTTACATTTTTAAAAAAGTATTTGTTAAAATATTTATATTGCCATTCTGAATTTTTTGTTTTTGTTCAATCTTGTACATTTAGTTCAATTGTATACTCTTCATTTAATCAAAGAATCATTTGTTCATATTGTTTGCATTGGTCAAAATCCTTTTAGCAAAATAACCAAGTAGTAACTAAAAGATAAAGTTGCCATCATGTTCTCACATTCATGAAATCTCATCTCAGGCCATGTCAATTGTCTTGAGTAAATGTAATGCGTTTATTTAATTTAACATTTGTAATGTTTCTGTTCTCAACTATAACCTAGTAAAGTATGTCTAATGTTAAACTTCTCTGCAAAGGTAAAGAATCTCTATTAAACATCAATTTGCATCCTATTAAATGGCTTTAGAATAGAATCTGCTAACAATTGTAAGGTTGTCTAAACTTTAGACTCTAAAACAGTGGCCACTAACTGGTGGTCCGTGAAGTCTGAAAGGTTGGCAACCGCTGGTCTGAAGGATGTCCTTTCCAATATCTGCTTCCACTTTGAATTAATTCAAGATGGATAGTAGGCATTCAGGCATTGGATAGCCCTGTGTGTGGTGGTTCTGAAAGAATTTAATTATAGGCAGATATATTTGTTTTTTATTCCTTCTATAAAATATTAACACTAACTTAGTGGCTTTAACACAACACATGTTTATTGTCTTACAGTTCTCAAAGTCAGAGTTTAAAATAGGTCCTCAGGCCTGCATTCCTTCTTGAGGCCCTAGGAGATGATCTGTTTCCTTGCTTTTCCAACTTCTTGGGGCTGCCTGCATTTCTTGGCTCTTGGCACCTTCATCTTCAAAGTGTGTCACTGCAACCTCTGGTTCTGTGGTCTCATCTCCTTTTTTTGACTCTGACCCTGGTATTATTGGTAACTAAACTGAGGAACAAAATGAGGAGGAGACAACTTTCTCAAGATTAGAGAGTGACTCAGTTATAAACCAGGGCCAAGAACCTAGGTGTTTTGCCTTCCACTTTGCTTTCTGCATTGTTGCCTTTTCAATCAAGTGCTAAATAAGAAATAAAAATTAGGTGATGAATGAGTTTCAATTTCAAACTCCTGAGAAAATGTTCCAAGTGCAATTACTATTTCTTTTGAGTTTGTAACTTTTTTTTTACTAAATGCAGTCAACCAGCTCTTTTATTTATTGCTAACTATTCTTTCTATATACCCCAGACATCTGTTTTTTGGACCTTTTCCCTGGAAAGAGTGTGTTCTTTTAAGTTGCCTTCTAGACATATTTGTAGTCAGGCTCTATTTACTTGAAAAAACAACAACAAAAAACACTTCTGTACAGAACATAGTATAGTAAAGAACAAGAGGTTAACAACAAAAAAAGGCCTAGCTAAAATGATAGTGTCCAAGACTTAGATACTTTGCCCTTTACTTATGTGAGAACTCCCTGCCTTTTCCCACTGAGACTTCTAACTCTTGGTTTGTTTCCAGTACTAAATTAAAAGCTTTTTAGCTTTTTTTCTGAACTTTGCAGATAAAAAGTACAAATCAGAAAGCAGTAGTGGGAATACTCTATACTATGGAGATATAAACTGATAGCAGTATCATATAGGTGACTATTTCACATTGAGGGACAAGACAATAGAAAAAAATGTGCAAGAATAACTTAACATTCATTCTCATCTGAGGTTTTTGGCATGGGGACTCTAAGATTGCCATGATATCTCAGTACAAAGAATCCTAATGAGATCCAGAGTCAGTAAGAAGTAAGTTTAAAGGAGAGAAATGGGTATATAGAAAGATCTCTAATATGATTATAGAAATAAGAAACATAATTTTATGAGTGTTTATGTGTTTTATGCATATTATAAATGATTCATTGCTAAATTTTAATCTTCACAAAACAGAGAGATTACCCTCATTTACAGATGAGATATATAAAGAGGTTAAGTAACTTACCTTAGGACACACAGTGGCAAGATTTAAGTAGCAAAGTCAAGATACTGCATGTCATATTCCAGAGACCATGTTTTCCTTTAATGTTATTAAAGGCTTTGTTTATAGAAGTAAGTTTAACTGGGAAATTAATTTCAGTGCATTGTTATATAATCCATATTTTTACATAGTTGGAAGCATTCCTATATTTTGGCTGGGGGATAAGTCAACTTCTCAAAATTAGAAGGCAGGAGAATCTGGTACATATTTTATATAGTGGTTTTTACCCTAAAACAAAAACTTTTGCACAAATAATATTTATCTTTTGTATAAATTCTTTTCACATATGTAATTTTTTTCTTAAAATTTAAAGAAGCTTAAGTCAGGACAATTCATAGTACCCCTGCTCTACATGAGATAGTCAGACTTAGAAAGTAAGTCTGACCTTCAAAGTCAGAGAGGTAATAACACATCAAGTTGCATCTAAAAGCTAGGTTTTCAGATGTTTAGGCTGTTTCTTTTTTTAAAAAAATATATATATATATATTTTATTGATTTTGTACAGAGAGGAAGGGAGAGAGACACAGAGTTAGAAACATCGATGAGAGAGAGTCATCGATCAACTGCCTCTTGCACACCCCCCACTGGGGATATGCCCGCAACCAAGGTACATGCCCTTGACCGGAATCGAACCCGGGACCTTTCAGTCCCCAAGCTGACATTCTATCCATTGAGCCAAACCAGTTTCGGCTAGGCTGTTTCTTTCTAATATCATGTTTTTACTTATTGCTGTTTACACACACAAAAAAATGATATCAATAATTATATTTTTAAATAATTTAATTCATAATCTGTGAAACCTATTAATTATTCAATTTTAGATCCATTCCCCTAAAAATAACAATGTAATTCAATCTAAGGGTTGGAATTTAGGTCAAATGATAAACTTACGAATTAGCAGAAAAATAGTTTAAATAGTTGCTATTATTAGAGGGTAACGATTTTTTAAAAATTTGAGACATTATTTGACAGTCAATCAAAACATTATTAAGCCTAATATATACTAGAAATATATCATTTCTGTATTAAATGTGTTCATTGAATTATTTTAGGAGAAATAACTTTGTAGATATAACATTAAGGAAAATTTTAATGATTAAAAAGAAAAACTTAAGTGAAAGTTGTTCAGATTCTATGTATCCTTCTTTGGCAATGAAAACTACATGAGAAACTTTAGCTTTAAAATCTTGTCAGAAGAAGGGCCCGCAGCCCTTCACTGTGTGGTATTATGCACATCACAGGACCTGAGCTCACATTCTCTCTTCCTGAAAGATTAGCAGGACGCCACACAGCTTAGCCAAGCTTCTTATTAAACACTGTATTGTCCCAAGCACATTGCACAGTGAATTGTGTCAGGCAAATGCTGCTTAAGATTTGTTTTCAGTGATCTTATCCTTGCTTTTAATATTCGTTTTTTGATTTATCTACTTAGTGGCCATTGTGAATTTTTGTTCTTAAGTTGTAGACTTTTAAAAAACATTTTCTGCATATTTTTTCTTACAGTATCTGACAGCCATTCTGTTTCTTCATCAAAAGTGCGTGTATAGTACTCTTAGTTTAATCTGGCAAACGACAAAGTTTATTTAAATATGTTGGGTTTTTAGATCAAACATTCTCCTGCATGTTGGTTTAGGAGTGGAGTTTTAGTTACCTTACTTAGCCTGAGGAAAACTAATTTTCAGTTACAGTGTTCAGAAGCAGAATTCTCCATAGCTCACTCCTTATCTGCCTGAAGGTCTTTAGCATATGCAATTCCATAAATTTCATCATGTGTCTTTACATATCTTTAGCTGATATGTAATTCTGATAGTTTAAGTGAATCATTCCTAGAGTGGGTTTTCTCTTCTTTTTGTGTCCTTTTTCTCTGTGACGCTTTCCTTAAGAGTATTTTCCTTAGCACGCAATACCACCTCCCACACTAAGCATTGGCTCCCGTCAGGGCATTGAAAGGAAGCCTTGGGCCCTGAAGGCTGTGCATGGTTTCTCATGGAAAAATCAGATGGACTCTCAGTCAGAAATCTACTTTCTCGAAGTTTACAATGTATCTATTTTCTGATATATTAGAGCAGTGGATAAAATAGCAGTGTAAAAATTCTTTGGAACAGTCAGGGTATAGTTATGGAGTATATAGTAGGGTTTTGGGGGAACGTTAGAAGGAGTAATAGAACAGATATTCATCCTATTTTGGACACTTATTCATATCCTACTTCTTAAACAAACAATGCATTATGAGAAGGGTGTGATAAGTTTTAGTTTTTATATGCCCTAGATTTATTTTTTTCACTCTTAGTCTGGGTATAATAAAATATAAAAACTAAGTATTACAACTTAAGGTCTATGTAGGTCCCCTCTATCCTCTGGCTTTACAACTTTGCTTAGTGAATTTAAGGTGCACTTAAAACTTTAGCTTAAGTTTTAATGTCAGAAATACATTGTTTTAAACTTTGTGATTTAAAATGGTGTTTATAAAAAGCACAATTGAAATGGCCTTTTCTCTTAATTTGGGTACTAAAATATCTTAATTAAAAAAATTTTTTTTATTTGAATATCTTAAAAAAAATTCCTCTCTTTCCTTCTTTCTTCTCCCTCTTTTTCTCCCTCCCTATCCCATCCAGGTTCGAATGGCTTTAAAAAAGGCAGAAAAAGAATTTGAACTCAGAAGCAGCTGGTCTGTCCCAGATGCACTTCAAAAATGGCTTCAGTTGACACATGAAGTAGAAGTACAGTACTACAATATTAAAAGACAGAATGCCGAAATGCAATTAGCTATTGCTAAGGATGAGGTACTCTATTATATTTCAAAACTTATTAAATTTCTAGAAGGATTAACCAGTTGGAATGCAAAGATATGAATAATTTTTTATTATTGCAGATTCTTTGAACTGGAACTTACTGATATTAATTGAGTCATAATCATAGGCTGTAAAGTAGAATTGCTTTCTTTAAAGAGGTGTATACCTTTCAGAATGACCTTAGTGTCATTTAAAAGTCATCCTTATTATCATTATAAATGTTTTATACAGAGCTTTTCTCCTCTAGGTTGCTGCTTCATATCTGATTCAGGTCAGTAGTTACTAGAAATTAATGTCTGACTTTATTAAGTTGTGTGAAATACGATTAAGTATTAATCTGATATGTAGCACACACACACAAAAAAGAGTTTATTTCACTCACTAACACCTCTATTGCAGTAGGATATAATGTTATTTGTTAGTTTTAATAAAAAATTCAGGTCTTTCTGAATGACAGAAGTAAGAGACAAATTCTCCAGAATGGAGTTTTTAATCGTATTGTTTAAGTTGGGAAAGCATGTTTGTTTTTTCCCTCATCTATTTTTTTTTTTTTTGAAAATAGGGCTAAATATTATTGACTAATAATTTTTCACTGATTTTAGGATTATTAATATTTTTAAAACAAAATAAACTTCATTCATATATGTATATTTCCTCCAAACCTAGCCTTATTTTTCTCTCCTTTGGTTTCTAGGCAGAGAAAATTAAAAAGAAGAGAAGCACAGTCTTTGGGACGCTGCATGTCGCACACAGCTCCTCCCTAGATGAGGTAGACCACAAAATTCTGGAAGCAAAGTAAGAGTGTTATTTTAGTTGTTCATTTTCACTGTGCTGAAATATGTAATTCTTGGGACAATCTATATTTTAATTTGGCCATGTATAATCACATAATTCATACTAATTCTAAGAGTGTGTAATTTCTTATTGAAATTAGCTAATTGCTATGGTCTATTCATGTAGTTCTTTTTTCAGTGCCATATTAAGGACGACTTGAAATAACAATTTCTATGTTGTCTCTTCCAGAAAAGCTCTCTCCGAGCTGACAACTTGTTTACGAGAACGACTATTTCGCTGGCAACAGATTGAGAAGATCTGTGGCTTCCAGATAGCCCATAACTCGGGGCTCCCCAGCCTGACCTCTTCCCTTTATTCTGACCACAGCTGGGTGGTGATGCCCAGAGTCTCCATTCCACCCTATCCAATCGCTGGAGGAGTTGACGACTTGGATGAAGATACACCTCCGATAGTGTCACAGTTTCCTGGTAAGTGATGAGTTCAAAGGGGAATTGGGATAGCTTTAAAACAACTTTACACCACACCATTTATGGAGCATTTACTTTGAAGGCTATGATAAAAACATGTTGTACATTCTTTGTTTTCTCTTTTTGTTGTTAATTTATGTTTACTGTTTGAAAATACTGTCGTGTGTGTGTGTGTGTGTGTGTGTGTGTGTGTGTGTGTGTGTGTGTGATACATCATACATGCTAAATCACTTTTATGAATGTAGGGCTGAGCTTTGAAGAAAAACATCTTTTCAAAAAGCAGCATAATCTATAGTACAAAGTAAAGTTTAGGGCAAGCTCTAATTCTGTGTTCCAATCCTAGCTCTGCCACTAACTAACCAACTGTGTGACTTTCAGCAAGCCTGTAATTTTTTTTAAATTGAGTTGACATTCTCAGTAGGCATGTTTATTTAAAAAAAAAAATTTTGTTTTTTGTTTTTCCAATTTTGTGCTTTTATTGAAAGAGTGTTTATTCATAAAGCACTGAATCAATTTGCCTTTATATAAAATTAAACTGTGTTTATGTCTATGTTTAGAAAATTTTGTACATTTTTTTTGTTGCTAGAAAATGTACAATTCCTTTGTTATGTTCTATTCTTTGAAAAAATTTTACATGGTAAAGAATACATTTTGGCAGGAAAGTGAAATTTAAATATTTTAGATTTTAATAAATTTCAGAGTTAATAAGTATTTGGACTTTTCACAAAGTTATAGAGAGTTTAATTTAAAATGGTATATTTTATGTATTAGAAATCATTATCCTTATTATTGCCTACCGACTTCATTTTCCCCAACCTTTCTGATCTTCATAAAAACATATATATATGTTTAGAACAGGAGTCCAAAGAATGGAGAGCAGAAGTTAATTATTGATTGATTGAAGACTTACATGGAAATTTTAATTTTTAGATAAATCATGATATATGAGCATTTCCAGTTTTAGTTTTTCTATTTAAGTATAGTTTTCCTGAAATTATGATTTAGAAAGGGTTCTAATTTTTAAAACATTTTTATGAAAGAAATCTCTAAATTTGCAAATAAATAGTGATTTTGTGTTTATGTTCATTTCTATGGTTTTAATTCTAAGGTTGGAAAAATGAAACCAGCAGACAGATAATGCAAACAGATTGGGGAGGCACTAAATCTTACAAGAGGAGGGAGGAGAGGACGGGTTGTAAATGTAATGAGTTCTGAGTGTGTGACCTCACTCATTTCATTGGCCCTATGCTGCAAGATAGTGATGGTTGCAGAGTTATATCTAGATCTGGGCCAGCTCTATTCTTTGAATATTGTGTTTATTTGAATTATATGCCCCAAGCTTGACAAATATAACACGGATTCATAGGTATATGATGCTGTTTGAAAACTAAAGTGTTTTTTTTTTAATGTTGCAGGACTTCCTTAGGATGCGTAATTATGCACCATCAAAAGTGTGCATCAAGATGTATTCCCTAAATTGACTAGATTTTTTAAAGTACTTTTTTTTTTAGGGAAAAGATATTCATATGTGCATTAAAAATTTTATTATCCCTGGAAAAGTAACTCATACCAAAAATTATACTTGGAGAGCTTTGCCTCCACCCAGTGGCATAACGGAGATATTTCACTCTGCTTAGTTACAAAAGCATAATTTCTAGACCTGATAAATAAGAAACTCCTAGCAGTAGGATGAGGGTCTAAGGTAGGATAAAGGCTCTTCATTACATACTCTTCTGTGCAGTTTTAAATTTGTACTCTGGGTACGTAAGCTATCTAAGCGTGAAATAACGACAAGGAAACATCCTATGGTACGTTAAGAGCCAAGTAAGGTTGTAAACTATACATACATTTCATAATATTGCTGTGTTTAATTACTTGTAAAGAAAAAAGACAGAGAAGATACTGTCAAAGGTTAGCCCTGTGTGGGTAAGAGCAGATGATTATTTTCCTGTAGGTACTTTTATAGTACTGCTAAACATTCGCAATGGGACTGCAGTAGCAATTTATTTAACATCTGTTATTGTAAAGCCTTTCAGATATTTCTAAAGGCAATATGCTCACCTACTTCAAAGGCAAACAGATATTAACATTTTGCTTTATTCATCTCTATCAAAATAAACCATTGTAGCTATAGCTAACCCAGAGGGCCTTCCTTTCCCACTCTGCTAAAGTTGTTTACATTCTGAAGCCTGTTGTACTTTTATTACATGCAGGCATATCCATAAGCAATAGATACAATTTTTAAATTTACATAACTGGTATCAAACTACATATTGGTATGTAGTTTTTCACTCTTTTTTGCTCAAAACTGTTTTATAAATTTTCCATGTTTATATATAGATTAATCAAATTCACTGTGTTTAATATAAGTTAACCACAGTGTGCTTGTTTGTTTGTTTATTTACTTATTTATTTATTGTAATAATAAACCACAGTTTATCCCTTTTTGTACAGATATAAGTTCTTTCTCCCTTTTTTTGTTTTTTTGTTCTCCTTATAAAATACTAATACAATGAGCATCTTTCTTTCATTTCCATGTCGTAGCTCTGAGGGTTTCTCTGGGTAAACACCTAGAAATGGATTGCTGTGTTGTCCTGAAGACACCCCTTACTGGTCATTGCCAAGTTGCTCTAAAAGTGGATCTAGCAGTTTACACAACCACTATATATGAGAACCTGTCTTCTTATATCCTTACAATACTTCCAATGATGTGATTTGGTTTATAACTTGAATGGGTGTTATATGATACCTTACTGTTACTAAATATTTTATTTCTTTGATGACTATTGAGATAGAGTACCATATCATTTATTGACATTTGTTCAGATTCCTTCCTGAGTTCTTTGTTCCTGCTATGGAATTTTCTCCAGGATTTCTTACTGATCTGGAAGTTTAAAAAAAAAAATGTTAACTGTGTTTTTGAGGGTTAAAGATATCTTCTCCTAGGATTTGCCTTTGTTTTTTTATTGTGCTATCTTATTTATTTTCTTTTTTAATCAGAAGAGTTTAAAAAACATTTTAATGACAAATTTATGATTTGTGCTTTTTATGTCTTTTTCAGAAGATATTAGATTTTGATAGCTGCCCTCAAAGTTTTTAAGTTTTGCTTTAATCCCTTAGTCTTTTAATATACCTAGAAGTTACTTTTGTTCATATTGTGAACAAAATATATCATTGTATAGATAGTTTTCCCAGCCTCATTTCTCTATCTCTGCTGAATTTTGACACCACTTCTCTCTATAGCCACAGAGATGCTTCCCGGTTATCTGTTTTCTTTCATTGGTCCCATTCTGCCTTAGTTCCTACTTATAGCTTCATAGTAAGTATTGAGGTTTGATAGGTCAAAGCCTTCATTTATTATTCAGCTTCAGTATTGCTACTCTTGGTCTTTTTAGGATCAGCTTATGAAATTTCATTGGGTTTTTACTGGAATTTCTTTGAATTTACTGACTTATTTGAGAATAAATATTATTCATAAATTCCATTTGAGACCTTTTATATCTTTAAGTAAAATTTAGTATACTTTTCTCTGTGTAGTTCTTGCATATCTTTTGTTTTAAAGGTTACTTTCTAGATATGATAGCTTGTGCTGATGTTTAGAGAAGTGCTGTTGATTTGGATATGCTGATCTTGTATGCAGAAATATTGAATTCTCTTCTAAGGACCTTTTGGATTTTTTTGTATAGACAATAATGAGTTGCTGTTTTCTTCCCAATCCTTATGATTTTTCTCCCATGTTATTCAATCTAAAGCCTTCAGTAAACTGTTGAATACGAGTGGTGATTGCAGGTAGTAGTGATTGCCATTTCTGACTTTAAAAAGAATGTTCCCAATAATATTTCATCAAGATGTGTGATTTTTTTCTGTCTACATTTTTGATAGGTTGCTTTTGAATTAAGCAATTTAATTTTTATTCCTATTTTCTACATATTTTGAGATGATCACTTGCTTTATTTTTTTATTCTTTGAAATTGTACTCCCATCTATTTCATTAACTATGTAAAAACTCCAAATAAAATAATATAGCAAACAAATCCAATTTATTATAAAAACAGCATTGTGACAAACCAGCTCCAATTTATTATGCAAATAGTACATTATGACTTACGATAAATTAGATTTGGTTTGTTATATTATTTTATTTAGGGTTTTTATATCTTTAATCATTCATTCGCTTAGCCAGTAATTTTTCCTTCTAAACACTCTGCTTAATTTTGATATCAAGGTTACTAGTAAAAGTAGCATCACAAAGTAAGTCAAGGAATATGCCTATTTTTCCATCCCATTCTTTCCTACTTTTAAATAGAGGTAGTAAAATGTAGCAGTTAAGAATGTGGGCTCTGGCCCTGGCTGGGTAGCTGTTGGTTAGAACATCATCCTGAAACACAAAGGTTGTGGGTTCGATCCCTGGTCAGGACACATATAAGAAATAAGAAATAAGTGAAACAACAAATTTCTCTCTCTCTCTCTCTCTCTCTCTCTATCTCTCTCTCTTTCTCTCTCTCTTTTTCTCTTCTGTGAAATCAATAAATAAAAACAAAATGAAAACAATGTTGGCTCTGGAACAAGATTGCTTAGATTTGAATCCTTGCAGCACCATTTATATGTATCACACCCCCTCACCTTATAGGTTAATGTTGTCCAGTATTTTGTTTTAAATATCTCATAAAACATTAAAAATGTAACCCACCTTGTGTAATTATTTTGTAATTTAAATAATAATACCTATAAAAAACTTAGAACAGATCCTTATCCATAACAATACTCCATAAATGTTTTGAATTTTTATTCCATACTGTGATAGTATTATTTGTTCTTTAAGGATTTTTGGCAGGAGAGAAGGGGGCAGATTTTGTTTTCCCCAAACTATTGAGTTAGCTTCTTATAATGGGTAAAAGCCTTGTTTTAAGTTATGTGATTCTAAAATATTGTTTGTTTTATTGAGTTTTAAAATTTGTTGGCTTAAAGTTGTCCATAGTATTTTACATGATTTAAAAATTTTCACTTATATCTTAAAATCCTTTCGTTTTCCTATCCTTGATTAATCTGGCATAATTTGACTATTTTATTTCACTCACTCTTTCATTCCTCAAATAACTGTTTTTGTTGTTGATATTCTCCATTTATTTCTGCTCTTTTATTTTCTTTATTGGAATTTACATTTTTTGTTTTATTATTTAGACACCTAGCTTATCAGTTTTTTCCTTAATGTATGGTTTTATGGCTACGAATTTTACTCTAAGAACCACTTTAACTATTGCCTTCTCCTGTCTGAAGTTTTTTACTGAGCTATTTTAAAGAGATTATTTTTTAAACATGCTTTTACTGAGGGATGTAGCCTATCTATACCCAAGTTTTTATCCAGAACACTCACAATTGCTATTCCTTACTTCATGTGGGCAAAGATGCCTTTTATATCCTCAAATTAAAACCCAAACCCTTGAATTATTGAGACTGAGAACCTCCACATTAATTCCACCATCACTCACAGGCCCAGTAGTTTTTTCCTTTATCCTTTCTGTTTTGGCATCTGATTTTTTTTCTTCCTTGCAAGTTTGCATTTAGAACTATTGTTGTATTTTATTCATTATATTGAAGTGTTTGAGGGTATTTAGAGTGCATTGTTGAGAGTTGGGAATTGTTGGTCAGGTAATATTTGACTGCTATATTGCTAGAACCAAAAGTCCATATATGATTTACTATTTCTGATTGTTGGTGGCGGGGAGAATCCCTTATTACAAAACAAAATTTATCTTCTCTGGCATAAGGAAATCCGGTTTGCAATAGAGGGTCATACTAAATCACTGTGCTTCTCTTATCTAATTATTGATAATAGAATGAAAATTATATCAGTAATAAATTTCTATATAATAAACTTGGATGTTTTATTTAACTGCTCTTATTAATCACAGGTAGAGTGGATATCTGCCTTCATTGGAAATTAATAATAGCCCGAACATGTTGTAAAACATTCACATTATGTAAAGCAATGCTATTAAAAGGTCAAAGTGCCTGCTTTTTAATACTGTGATTTTATAGTGTTATAACTCTCTGTAGCCCCATCCAGATCTCTTCGGGCAACAAGGAAGAAAGATCCTCAACTCCAAGTATACATAATTCTAAAACAGGGATTCATATTTTTTTTTTCAGGCAAAAGACATGGCAGCATAATTAAGAAAAAAAATTGGAAAATATTGTATAGTTGTAAGCAATATCTTTTTTTTTAAATCCTCAACTGAGGATATTTTTTCCATTGAATATTAGAGTGGAAATGAAACAGGGAGAGGGATAGAAAGAGAGAGGAACATTGATGTGAGAAAGACACAGCAATTGGTTGCCTCCTGCACAAGCCCGGACAGGGCCAGGAATCAAGTCTGCAGCTGAGGTATGTGTCACTGACAGGAAGTGAACCCGAGACCCTTCAGTTTACAGGCTGGTGCTCTATCCATTGAGCCAAACCACTAGGGTTCTTTTTGTAATTGATTTCTTTTTCTTTTTTTTTTCTTTTTCTTTTGAGGTAGAGGGGTATTACATGGACTAGTTGCCTCCCACATGCCCCCCAACCAGGAATCAAACCGTTGAAAAATCTAACTTAAATTTTACTGATAATTTCCTTCTTTTAATGTTGAAATTTATTTTGTAACAAAGTACAAATTCCTTATCAATATGCTATGTTGATCGTTTAAATTTAAGGATTTGTTAAGTTGGGTACATTTTAAAGTCTTTTTGGTTAGTAATGTCAAATTTAATATTCGAACCTAATTTGTTTATGTTCATTTCTATTTATTTTTAAATCTGATTTCATTTTTGTTAGATTTTATTTTTTATTTCTTAACTTTCCTGAGGAGCAGTAAAGGTGATGGAGGATGGTCATAGTGGTTCAGTCACTTATTTCAGTAAAGGCAGATTAAATGGTTACATACTAGTAACATTTGTGAGTACTTACAGCGTGTACAAAGGAGCAAGGGGTTTTATGAGCTTTTTTAAAATGTATGTTTGGTTTTCAGGGACCATGGCTAAACCTGCTGGGTCGTTAGCCAGAAGCAGTAGCTTGTGTCGCTCTCGTCGCAGCATCGTGCCATCCTCACCGCAGACCCAGCGAGCTCAGCTCCCTGCGCACAGCGCTCCGCAGCCGCCACACCCTCGGCACGCCCACCATCCCCAGCACACACAGCACTCTTTGGCCTCCCCTGATCCAGACATCCTCTCAGTGTCAAGTTGCCCTGCTCTTTATCGGAGTGAAGAGGAGGAGGAGGCCATTTACTTCTCCGCTGAGAAGCAATGGTATTGGCAGTGAATAAACTAAATATATGTTGGGCGGCTATGTGGGAGGTTGGAGTTGGGTGGGTAGGACTGGTGTGTCTTACTAGTTTTCCATTGCTGCATAAGAACTTACCACAAACTTGGTGATGTCAAACAGCACACCAAGTTCAAGCTTGGTGTGGCTGGGTTTTCTGTCCAGGATCTGACAAGGGTAAAATCGAGGCATTGACTGAGCTCCGCTCTCATCTGGCAGCTTTGGGCCCTCTTCAAAGCTCAGTTGGTTGTGAAAGAATTCAGTGCCTTTGGGTGATAGCACTTGAGGTCTGGTTCCTGTGCAGGGGCTGCTCTCAGTTTCTAGAAGCTGCCTGATGAGGCCTCCATCCTCCATGAGGCCTCCATCTTCAAAGCCAGCAACAGAGAGTTTGCCTTCTGTCAAATCCTTCCTTTGCTTTGAATCTCTGACTACCTCTATCTCTAATCTCTAGACCCAAATTTAAAAGGCTCACCTGGGTAATAACCTCTCCGTGTTGAGGTTATGCTTTATGCTCTTAATCACATCTGCAAAATCCCTTCTATATTAATGTTCGATTGAATAACTGGGAAGCCCTGGTCAGTGTGCTCGCTGGTTAGAGAGTCGGCCCACACTCTGGAGTCCCAGGTTCCATTCCTGGTCAGAGGCGCATACTGTGTTGCTGTTTTGATCCCCCATCTTTCTCACATCGATGTCTCCCTCCCTCCCTCTCTCTCTAAAAGTCAGTGGGAAAGATATTCTTGGGTGAGGATTAACAAAAGCAGCAACAACAAAATAACTGGGAGAAGATGCCTGTGTACTAGGGCTGGGAATTTGGGGACCATCTTAGAATTCTGCCCACTATCCAGGCATAGGAAGATGCTTTGCAATACAGCTTTTAGAAGAGGCCATAGCACCCAGGTAACTCAAGTCTCTAAACATCAACTTGTTAACTATTTTATATGTAAAGTATAAAGGCATGAGCTTAAATATACTTGAGCACAAAGAAACATTGAATATGACTGAGTTTTTAAAATATTTGTTGCCACTTAATGATTTACTGTTATATGCTAACACTTTATAGTACACAAGAAGTACCAGACGCTAGAGGTTTAAGAAAGTGAGGGGCCAAAACCGGTTTGGCTCAGTGGATAGAGCGTTGGCCTGCGGACTAAAGGGTCCCAGGTTCGATTCCGGTCAAGGGCATGTACGTTGGTTGCGGGCACATCCCCGGTAGGGGGTGTGCAAGAGGCAGCTGGTCGATTTTTTTCATCGATGTTTCTAACTCTCTATCCCTCTCCCTTCCTATCTGTAAAAAATCAATAAAAAATATATTAAAAAAAAAAAAGTGAGGGAACGTAAAGAAGGAATTTGTATCCATAACAACTTTTTTCTATAAAAAGGAGCAGTGGCAGGGTATGCTCGTCCAGCTTAGGGACCCCGGTGGTCCATGAGGCCTGTTGTTACGGAGGATCTCTCTCTCTCTAAACCACTGTCCTTGGAAGCCTGAGGTTAGACAGAAAAACGGAGTCTGTTTCTGATTTTGCCACTTAATAGCTGTGTAGCCCCAAAATCTCACTGTCCTTGTCTGAGAAACAAAACAGATGAAAGGATTGGATCCGTGTAGCTCTCTGTCATGGGATTCTTTAGTCGATGTCATCATCAAACAATTATTTTCATGTATGATTGTTTCCTCTACTAGTGAAAATAAATTTTATGATTAGCAAGTGATCATTATAGCATATTCCTAAGAAGATAGCCCATGTTTTATATTCTCATTACAATTGGAGAATTTTATCCAACTTTGCTTGGTTAGCACTCTATAATTAGCTACTTTGTATAATCTTTGCAATATAACTATAGTCATCAGAAGGATGGCTTTACTAAGGAAACTCATTTTGTGTGGCTTATGGAAATTAGTAGAAAAACTCCAGACCTATGCTTTCCAGTAGAATTTTTTGAGTTGATGGAAGTTTTCAGTTTTATTTCAAATAGCAACATCAGAAATTCATAGCGAGCTCAGCAATATGAGAATTTAGAGTCAGAAAAGTTTCCTCTTCTCTCTGTTTTCAGTCTTAAGTGTTGTGCCACCAGAACCCTTACAAAATAATAACATTTATTATTCACTGATCTTTTATGTCCCATGTATTACGCACACATGCACTCATTTAAATTCACCTTGAGTCGTCTTGTTACACATGCATTAAACTTACATGAATTCAGCTGTAGTGGGGGAAAGAAATAGAAAAATAACATAAATGGCACACATAGTTAAGTTCAACCTTTTCAAAGAATATGTGCTCTAGAAAAGATGGGAGGTTTTAAGGTATACTATACCTGCTCTCCAGATCTGAATAGTTAGCAGAAGATGCAATACTTTAGATTATTTGTTTTGGAATTAAAATGTTAGAACTGGAAGTATTAGAGGGCAATCAAATTCTCTTAGCTTTACAGGAAAATTAAGACCTGTTTAAATTAAGTGACCTGCCCATGATTGTACAGCTAATAGCAGAACCAGGACAGTGATCCTAACGTGGATCCGGCTCTTTCCACACATGACTTAGTCCAGGGGTGGGGAACATCCGGCCCTCAAACATAAAGCCCCAAGAAATCATTTGATCTGGTCCAGCCAAGGCATTAGGGGTGTAAATGAAATGTTTGATCACATTTAGCAAGCTAATTTTTAATTTTGTAGGGCCCACAAATAATGTTATGAATATCCAAATGGCCCTTGGCATAAAAAAGATTCCCCACCCCTAATTTAAATATTTGGGACTAGTTTTTGAAATATTTTTAACTTACCTTAGAAATTCACACAGAGTTCCCAAACCATGTAGCAAAATAGGAAGTAAATTAATGAAATAGTAACTAAAGCAGCTAAGTAGCTTCAGTAACAATTATATATGCTGCTCAATTAATGGACATCTCCAAAAGAAACCTAGCAGGAAAGTCCCCACCAAAGATAGATTTTTGAGTCATTTTTTCCTGTCTGACTGCCTCGCCTCTGTCAGCACTGCCCATTATCAGATTAAAAAAGCATTGGAAAAGTATGCAGTACATGGAACTGCATTATCTGGAAGCATTTTTTAAGTCCTTATTTGCCCAAGGGATCTTGTAACTTCTGAGAGCTTGAAGTGCAATAAAGACAATCTTCACACACATGGTAAAGTATATTGAAATGACTAAAAACATTCAGAAATCTAATGTTTCTAAAATATGACATTAACATAGATATGTTCATATGCATATCAAAGTAATAAATATGCATACAGCATAAATAATTATAGTAATCATAGGTCATCCAAGGTGAGAGCTCATTCAGTTCCATTCATTCTATAAATATGAATTTAGTCTGCTGTGTGCCATGCACTTGCTAATAACTTGAGCTGCCCAGACAAGTGAGACAAGGTCCTGTCCTAGTTCTAACTGGTAGATTATGAAAAGGTGTGTTCTTGCATTTCTGTTCTGTCATCAGCTCTCTTCCTTCTCCCACCTCATTTTTTTTTGCCTGCTATTTTTACCTTGACTGTACTTAATCATTTTTTCATAGAGTAAACAATATTTGTGTTAGGCATGGCATGTATAGAAACTAGAATAAGACATGATCCCTATTTATCAGGATCTTCCCTCTCTCCCTTGCCTCCCTCCCTTTCTTCCTCCCTCCCTTCCTTCCCACCCATTCATCCCATCCGTTACATACTTATTGAATACCCACTGTAATCTTGCCACTATTCCAGTGCAGAGAATACAGAAGTTAATAAGACTCCTTGTCCTCATTAAGTTTCCTTTCTCCTGAGGAAACTTACTATGAACATGTTAGTATAAAATATCATTTTAGGTAGTGATAAGTTCTGGGATACTAAACGGAGACAGGTAGAAGGAAAAAAAAAATGCTGTCTTAGGTAAAGTGTCTAGGGGTGGTATCACAACCTAAATGACAAGGACAAGGGGAAGCCATGTAGAGAGGGAGGGGAAGAGATTGGGAGGCAGAGGAACCAGCTAGTGCGAATGCCCTTTGGGAACCACAAGAATGGCATATGGGAGGGCTAAGGAGAGGCTGTGGTGGAATGGGGCAGGATGGGACAGTGTGCAGCCGCAGTAACTGCCATGGGCATGCTCAAACAGGCCTTTGTGACTTGGACAAGGACTTTGGGTTTTAGCCTGAGTATGAGAGGAAGCATTGGACAGTTCTGAGCACGGGAATGATGGGTCTGACTGAGTCTTTAAAATGCCTAAAGGGCTGTGTGGAGAAGTAACTCAGAGTGAGGAACAGAACGGAGGCAGGGAGACCAGTTAGGAAGCTATTGCAGTGACTGAGGTGACTTCACGGTGGTTCAGGAAGAGGGATGGCAGCAGAGGGGGTAAGAGGCGGGATTCCAGGTGTATTTTGAAGGGATGCTGATAGCACTTACTGTATGTTGGCTTTGGGGTTGTGAACTTTAAATAAACTCCTCTTTATTTCTTATTTCCACTGTGGAGAAAGGGTTGGGGATCACATTGGAATAAACCTTTGAGAATTTACTGAATATATACTTCTAAATAGCATTACATCATTGGCTTCCACCTCCCATTCATTTGCCTACTCTGATATACTTCAATTTCCTTTTTATTTTTTAAACTTGGGAGAATTTATATATTTCTTAGTATATTTCTTTGTTTCTTCTTCAGGAAGTTATATTTCATCAATTTAATTACTTAAAAATTAAATGGAGAAACAGTGACTAAGATTAATCTTTTCAAATATATTGTGTTACTATATGACTTAGGAAGAAAAATACTCATTATTAAAATAACACAAAAGCTGTTGAAATGATAAAGTCTGTAAACTTGAAACATTTTTATTTCTCTTAACAAAGAAGGTATAACAAGTTATTTTCCTTAGATTGGTAGATTGCATCATTATAGTTTATGTTAGTCATTGAACATTAAGTTTAAGCTATATTATTTAAACTAGTAATTTTCAAATTTTATTGAAACGAGTGTAAATTTTAGCATTTTCCCCATTTATATTTTTTAAAAACTTTTTTTTTATTATTTCAGAGAGAAAGGGAGAGGGAGAGAGAGATTGAAACATCAATGATGAGAATCATTGACTGGCTGCCTCCTGCACACCCCCTCCGGAGGATCAAGCCCACAACTGAAGCATGTGGCCTTGACCAGAATTGAACCCAGGACCTTTCAGTCTCCAGTGCTCTATCCACTGAGCCAAATCGGCTGGGGCTCCCCCATTTACGTCTTGATAGCTGAAATGATGGGAGTTGTTTTAGTTAGAACGTCTGCTGGGACTCCTTATTTACAATTTTACCTTTACCTCTGTCTCATCCAGGGAAGTACCAGACACAGGTTCAGAATGTGACTCCTTAAATTCTTCCATTGGAAGGAAGCAGTCTCCTCCTTCCAGCCTTGAGATATACCAAACACTGTCTCCTCGGAAGATATCAAAAGATGAGCTCTCTCTAGAGGATTCGTCCAGAGGAGACTCGCCCATCACTGCGGATCTCTCCCGGGGCTCTCCAGATTGTGTGGGGCTGACAGAAACGAAGAGCATGATCTTCAGTCCTGCAAGCAAAGTATACAACGGCATCTTGGAGAAATCCTGTAGCATGAACCAGCTTTCTAGTGGCATCCCGGTGCCTAAAGCTCGCCACACATCCTGTTCCTCAGGTGGCAACAACAGTAAACCAGTGCAGGAAGCCCCGAATGCTGCCAGGATGAGCAGCATCCCACATGACCTCTGTCCTAATGGAGAGAAGAGCAAAAAGCCATCAAAACTCAAAAGCCTTTTTAAGAAGAAATCCAAGTGAACTGGCTGACTTGATGGAATTCCATTCAAGTGGCATCCTTAAACTTTTATTACCCCCACCCCCACCCTTTTTTTTTTTTTTTTTTTTTTTTTTTTTTTTTTTAATTTTAGGAATGTAACTCCATTGGGGCTTTCCAGATTGGATGCCCTAGTGGAATGTCCTTAAGGGCAACTGTCTACTGTCTGCTTATTTAAATGACTATGTAATCCATCAAGCCAGTTATTTCTGAAAAATTATTAAGAGATGAGACAGTTTACAGTCACTTCTGCCTATTTATTTCTGCTTTGTTATTAGTGATGTATATACAACATTTATTGAAAGCCACTATGGACTTACGAGCTTTAAAAGACTGGTAAGCCAGCATGGGCTTGCAAAAATTTCTTGTTTACCAGAGCATCTTCTTATCTTTCCACAGAGCTATTTACATCCTGGACTAAATAACTTACAAGAATTAAAAACTAATTGCACTACTGTTTTCCAGACTGGAAAAAAAAAAAAAATCTCTGCAAGTGAAACTGTATAAAGTTTATAAAATGACTGTGGATAGGGGACTGTTTTCACTTTTAGATCAAATGGGTTTTTAAGTAGAACCTAGGGTTTCTAATTGACTTGATTTCTGGAAATGAAAACCCATGCTTTTATTATGGGAAGCTTCTTTTAATGCATTTAATATTATAAAGTTTTGAGTCCTGCTGTAAAGATCATGTTGTTTTGTTTTTCCCAGGGCTTTCACTGTGATTTACTGCATTGCAGGCTGTATGATAAAATATACATAATTTAAAGAGAGAAGGCTCTTTATTCCTTACGCAAGCGGAGTTAAAACTTGATCAGAGGACTTAAAACATTCACAAACTTAAACTGAGGCGGGGTGGATGTGGAGATTCAGACACTTGTTTACAGACTTTGAATAACCGCAAAGGATTTATGGTTTGTGAGAGATTTGTACTGTGGAAAAGATAATAAATTGGAGACATTATTGTGTGGGGTTGTGCTGGTTTTTGTTGATAACACTCCACTAAAAACACTACATGTTTCCTGGAGAGCTATGTAAGCTATCTTGTTGCTAATGCAATATAAGAAATAGCGATGTTTTGAAAGTAAGTTGTCAACAAACTTCTTTCTATTTTATATTGTTTGTCATATTTTTATGTAGTTTGAAATGTTTAAATGTTCTGATATCACGATTAACAAATATAAATCTATGGTGCATTTAGATTGTGTTGTATTAATTTGTAAAGTTTGGGTCTCATTAAACTGATAGGTTATTTTAAGGGTAGTTTTTACTGTAAAGATTGTCACATAGAGCAACAGAGTACATTAACATCTGGGGAATTTCTATTTAAAACACTTTTTAAAAAAATTCAATCATAAATGATATGGGTAATACAACGTGGATGGATGTTTGGGTGAACAACTGAAACATATTAGCTGGAATGTTTTTTCAGTATTATGACTAAAATACAGTGTCTAGTCCAGTCTTTTTTAGATGAAAATACTGATTGATAAACAAGAAGTTTGAGATTTGCTCCAAAGAATTTATTAGGAATATTAAGTTTCCTGGGGTCTCCTGTAAAGTGTGATTATTTATCCTTTTTTTGTACTTTTGTTAAAAACTGTCGAGGTCTTGATTGATTCATATATAAAAAAAAAAATATATATATATATATATATATATACACACTCACACACACTCACACACACACACACACACACACATACACACACACACACACACACACACTAGAGGCGCAGTGCACAAAATTCATGTACGTGGCGCGGACGGAGGGGAGGAGGGACTCAGCCCAGATTGCCAGAGGGTGCAGGCCAGGCTGAGGAACCCCACTGGTGCACCAGGGAGGGATATGGGAGGTTGGCCAGCTGGGGACCATGGGGTGGCTTCAGGGCATGTCCAGCCCATCCCTCTCAGTTTTGATAGGCTGGCCCCCAGCAGCAAGCTAACCTACCAGTCAGAAAGTGTCTTCCCCCAGGGGTCAGTGTACATCATAGCAGGCAGTTGAACAGCTTTGGCATATCTTTGCATATTATGCTTTGATTGGTTGAATTGATGACCAGATGACTGGACACTTAGCATATTAGGCTTTTATTATATAGGATGGATATTTATAATGTTAATAGTACTGTAAGGGCAAATTTGATTGAAATGAACAGTGTTTTGGCCTGATTATGAGGTAAGATCATCTGAACGGTCAAGTGTTGAGGAACATAGGCTGTTAATGAAGGGAAAAGTTGTGCACAAAGAATTAAAAAGCATTCTGGGAAGTTTCTTCAGAATGAAGGGAATACCTTATCTTTTTTCTCCTCCTTATAGCCAGACAGGAATGCTTCCCTTTGAAAACTGAAGGAGGGAGGAGATACCTGTATAGTTTGCTAGAGAAAAAAGGTAAGAGCTGCTGGAGATGGAATGAAGCTGGGAGGAGGGATGGCCCTAAATGCTCCCAGCAAGGCCTGCAGCTACTTACTTAAGGTTGGAAGGGAATTCTGGATCAGAACCCCTGTGCGCTAAGACTTGTGGTGGAGTGTGGGAGAGGCTGGCCTAAGTACAGTTTGTACCATCCTCCATCAGGAAATGCATTCTTTTTATTTTCTTTTTTAAAAATATATTTTATTGATTTTTTACAGAGAGGAAGATTTTTTATAGAGAGCTAGAAACATTGATGAGAAAGAAACATCAATCAGCTGCCTCTTGCACACCCCCTACTGGGGATGTGTCCGCAACCAGGGTACATGACTTTGACCGGAATTGAACCTGGGACCTTTCAGTCCGCAGGCCAATGTCTATCCACGGAGCAAAACCCATTTCGGCAGGAAATGCATTCTTTGTGCATAATCTCACACACATTCATAAACCATTTTAAGGAATACTTACTGTTTATATGTTTTTTTGTAATATTTACTTTGCATTAGTACAAAGCTCCCTATTTGTAAATTCAACAGTAAATAATTGTTTTTGGAAAGCCACAAAAAGTTTTGTATTACACCATTTTTACAGGAAGAATTAGACACTAATTTTTTTTAATGATCTCTTTGGTACCTTATTTTAACCTTACAAAACTTTTGTGTTTTCCTGATTTTTAAAGCAATATCTTCCTTACTATAAAAAACAATTCATGATAGAAAAGTATAACAAGAGCCCTGGCTGATGTGGCTCGGTTGGGTGCTGTCCAATGCACCAAAAGGTTGCTGGCTTGATTCCCGGTCAGGGCACATGCCCTGATTTCAGCCTCAATCCTCAGGTAGGGGGACATGAGAAGGCAGCCAATCAATGTTTCACTTTCACATCAATGCTTCTCTCCCCCTTCCCCCTTCCACTCTAAAAATTAATTTTTAAAGTATGAAAAAGACAAAAAAACATACAGCAAACAGATCAAATTTTGCCCAAATAATTGCTTTTACTATTTTGGTTTTCTGCTAGATCATTTTCTATATATTGATACTATATATATTTAATTTCATATCATGCTTTTTTATTTAATATAAGCATTTCTCCAATATCACTAATAATTTTTAATGAACATTTTGGTGATTGTATGCCATTGTATGGATTCACCATAATCTCATCATTTTTTTAATTATGAATCATTAGGCTGTTTTCCAATTTTTGGTCTGTGGACTAATAGTATTAAACCTTTATTGAGCACTCCATGTGTGAGGAACTGTCCTGAACTCATTAGCATACATTCTCATTTAATCTTTGCACCACCCTTGTAAGGCAAATACATTTTTTTTCCCTTTGACTTTTAAAAATCACCATTTTACTAATGAAACTGAGCCCAGAAAATTAATAGCTTACTGAAGATAACCTATCTAGTAAGTGGTAGAATTACATCATTAACTTTTGTGTTAATAAACATTTTTGAGTCCTTGGAATATGCATATTGTGTATAGAAAAAAAACCATAGGTATTTTAGCTTATGCTTATAAGTATGTGTCTATTACACACACACATAGTCTCACACACATACTGTGAGTGTAACTATTGTTAACTTTCCTTACCACACAGCCACGTTTATATCTCATCCCATACTTGAATGTATGAGCACCCGTTTGCTTCACTGTCATCTCGGAATTGTGGGTAAAACTTTGCTGATTTGATAGGTAAATGTCTGGTATGGTTGGACAGTTTTTCATGTTACATGTTTTCCATTTCAGTGGATTGTTTATTCATGTCTTTTGCCCATTAAGTTATTGGGGTCCTAGTGTATTTTTTTTTTAAGTGTTATGCAATCGTTCAAACGTAGCTATTGTATTACCTATTTACCAACTAAAACTGATTTTTAAAAATCATATGTACTTTTTCATTTTTATTTAGAAATCTCAGCAAAGAAAATCTAGGTTTAAGTTTTAATTTTATTGATATCCTGTTTTTGTGCCTTGAATGAGAGAGTAGATTTCAAAAAAAAAAAAAAATTAGAGGTAAGAGACAACATAGAATCCACTTAATTATTAAATAAACATTTAATAGCTTACTATGTGCCACGCATCATGATAAGCTCTGGAGGGATACAGACCAATGAGATGGACTAATGCCCTAAATAGTGGTTGGCAAACTGCAGTTCTCCAGTCACATGCGGCTCTTTGGCCCCTTGAGGGTGGCTCTTCCACAAAATACCATGGCTTGGGCGAGTCTATTTTGAAGACTTGGTGTTAGAAGAAGTTTAAGTTTAAAAAATTTGGCTCTCAAAAGAAACTTCAATCATTGCACTGTTGATATCTGGCTCTGTTTTCTGATGAGTTCACCGAACACTGCCCTAAGGGAACTCGATATCTATTGTAATAGGGAAGACAGAGCAAACAAAAATCCTTGTAATAAGGACAGTGATGGAAATGGAAATCAAATGTTGGAGAGATGGGAGCTGATGGGGAGAGGAATTGTGTAGCTCAAACATATTTATTAAGTTAAGGATAATTTAAAGGTGCTAACTTGCTGAGGGTGTGGAGAGATGTGCTATGGCTGAGACATAACCACGGGCAAGTTAGTT